CCAGAGCTGGTGCTGCGTGTGCAAAACAAAATCAGTCATATCATGCAGAAGCAGATTTCAGCTGCTTTGTTATTCAGTACTTCCCTCTTCGATTTAGGGACAGATTAGGTTTCAAACATAACAAAACTCCAGTAATTGTTTTCTTCAGATTTTTATCACAAATTAGTAGGAATCTTCCGATTTTTATTCCTCTACAATTCCCATCATATCAAGCTAAAGCCTCTAAAACATTGCCCTCCCCATGTAGATACTGTTATTGGATGGACAGATGAATGTAAAAATCAGGGATTCTCCTAATTTCTAGTCTTTCAAATTTCATAATCTACTGCCAGATGAGTAATGGTGACTTGGGATGCAGTGGCTGAGCTGTGGAAAATCCCTGACTGTTGCATCAAAACTGAAAGCACCTGGAGATTTTTGTGTCTACACCCAAAGCTTCCTGAAAATGTTTTTCACTAGAAGAGAGAAAAAGTAACCAAAGCCAATGGGTAAAACGAAAAGGGAGAGGAGAGGATGATACAATGGAAAGAGGAGGCACAAACTTCCTGCTGTCTCTGTGTGAAGGGGCTGTTACTTCATTTGTTATGCTGTCTTGCCCTCAGAAAGTCCAGCTCCAAATCATCTCTCAACTCTGGGAAATCCCACCAGACGTAAACAACTACCTGAGGGTGGCTTTGCACCCACAGAAGAAGCCCTGGAGGAAGCGCAGTGATGGATCTCCCAGCACGTGCCTCCAGGTGCGGCTCTTTTTGAGCTTCCCTCGCTGGCTGCAGCCCCCATCGCGGCTGGGCTCAGCTGATGGCCTCAAGAACCTGATCCCAGAGGATCTGCAGGCCGGCTTTTCTGCTGGGCTGGGAAGAAACTTCCTTGGCAAGGTGTCCAGCAGCAAAAGGAGGCTGCAGGGAGCCTTTGTGGGATGGAAGAGCGTGGTGTGCTCTGAGGATGGTGTGAGAAGAGCCACAGTGACTCTGAGGTGCACATCTGTTCTGAAATACCCAACATCTGGCTCTGGAAGTGGCATGTGGTGGCTGCCAGGCAGGGACCTGGCTGGAGTAGTGCCATGGTTAAGGACCATGATGCACATTTCAGGAGAGAGCCGCTCCATGCCAAGTGTCTGCACAGGACTCCTGCAGAAGGTGTCCCCTGCGCCCTGGCTGGGTCCCTGGCAGCAGGGACACCCTGGGACAGCAGGTCCTGCTCACCCTGGGATAGATACCTGGGCTGTGGGACTCTGCTTGCTCCCTGTCAGGCCCAAGGAAGTGTCTTTATGCAAACATGGACACAACAGAAGACAGCCTAGGCCCAGCTTTGAAGTCAAACCTCACTCCTCAAATCCCACGCCACATCCCACTGGGCTCAGTAAAAGGCAGTGTCTTTTAAATGAGATGGCTGCAAACTGGGGTGGACAGGCCTTCTCTGCCCTGTCTGAGGGGAGGTCTGGTCTCAGCTGACCCTGTGTTGCAGAGGCAGGGAGCAGATGCCCAGAGCTGGGAAGAGGATCCCCTCTGTCCCTTGCCCCATCCGAAGGGACTTTGCCTGCTGTGCAGTGTGGAGCGGTGCAGCTGTGCTGGGCTTGCTGGAGCCGTGCAAACGGGTGGAGCTGGGCTGCACTCCTGTAGCACAGCACCTGCTGCACACAGGGCAGGAGCGTGTTTTGCACAAAAGAAGAACCCACTTCCTTTGTTCTGCACTGCAAAAAGAAAAAATAAAATCAGGTGGAGAGCATTGTTTTCCCTCCATCTTATTCCCAAGGCCCTGGGCACAGCTGTCACCCTGGACACGGCTGTCACCCAGAACTTTGAGCTCTTCCATCTGTTTTCAAGGCTGGTGATACCATTAGGGTCATCTCCCTCCTCTGCACAGGGGCTGAGACCCCGCTGATCCTCCTTTATCCAGGCCCCCCTTTGACACGACACCTCCTGCTCCGGTGGGCTCCCAGAGAAGTCCTCCATCCCCAGGCAGGTGGCAGCTGCTGGGTCACCAGCTCATGATGCCTCTTCTGGGATCTGCAGCTCTCCTTTCAGTGCCTGCGTGAGCACAGAGCCCAGGGGACGGCAGGGGTTCTACAGAGGGCCTGACTGACTGCTCGGAAAAGTCCCGGACATAAATTTGCATCACGAACCTCCCCGTCCATCCCTGCCAAGCACTGGTGATTCTGACCGGGCTGAGGTGCTGTGGGCCCCTGAGTGGAAGCCAGTGGCATTTTGCTGAGCTTCATCCAAATTTGTTTCCTCCACGGTGTTAATTTGTGGAGATAAAACTCTCACACGACAGACTGTAATGAGGGTGGACGGGAGCTTTGCAGGGTCAGTGCCACAGTGAGCCCCAGCAGTGACCAGCACTGGTTCCAGCTGCAGCTGTTTGTTGTGCAGCGCTCTGGGGAGATGAAAGGATACTCCTGGATCCACTCGCTGGTGTGGGCTCAGGATTTCTGTAGAGGTAACACTTCTCTAATGTTAAATCCGTTGGTTGTTTCCACCATCGCGATGAAACAGCCCAAGAACATTCGAGCCCCACACAAGACTGATTAGCTTAACTCTTGACAGATGTGCGAGTAGAAAGTCCCTATTTTGCTAGGGAATATTTTTAATAATTTACTCAGCAGTTATTCTGGTATTAGCAGACCTTTCCCTCTGTGTAATATAAAGCCTCGAGCAACAAAAGTATCTCCATTAACAGATGCTTGTTAGCCAATTTTCACTATTACTCTTGCTAGGTACCTTCAACTTCTAGTAAATTCATGACAATAATGTGTAATTTCTATACAAATGACTCACAGTACATGAGTACACAGATTAGTACTGAGTTTAATGTCACTGTTTTAAAACATTAGAAATATTATGCAATTAAATAATCAGTTGAGCTTTACTGACCCAGAGGGAGATATGTGAGTTTAGCTTAACTGTAATCTTAACCTTCGTATTTCTTGGCTTCAGTTTTTCAGTAGCATCCTGAAAACCCCATGATGGGAATTTCCTGGTTTATTAGGAATTTTTTTGAGGGATAAAACCAGACACCAGCAAGATCATCACCACCACCACAAAAAAACCCCAAACCCTAGAACCACTAAAAAAAGCACAGAAATTCCTCTTGGGATTTGAAAACCCTAGTGGGCTCCAGTAAAAAAGCCACCATGGGGAAGGCCATCCTGCTGGTCACAGGGCAGGCTGGGCTTCTGCAAACATTTTGGGAAGTGCTGGGAAGGAAAGTACTCTCTCCATGCTGTGAGATACACACATACAGGGCTGAGGGATAAATCACAGCCATCCACTGCTCAGCAGTCCGTGGGGACAGAGCCTGCCGTGAGAGTTCCAGCTGGGACAAGGGGCTTTGCCCCACTTTCACCACACAATATGTCATCTTAATAACAAAAGCATTTTTCTGCTAAGGGAAAACTGTTTCATTCAACTCAGTCTCTGCCCTAAGGAGCCGTGTCTGGTGATGTCTCTGTGTGTGTGTGAAAGGCAAATCTGGGTTTCACCACAGGCACAGCATGGCTTGCACTGGCCACAGGCACAATAGAAGATTGTGCCCTTGAAGATTTGCCTCAACTTTATTGCAAAAGCTGCCCTTGTCCAGTAGTGCTGCCGTGGCCATGTGTGTGTCTGTGCCTGGGGTGGGAACTCTGCACGTGAAGCAGAGCTGAAGTTGTTTTCATCGTTCGGTTGCATTTTGCATCCTTGTAGAAGTTTTCAGAGTAAAACCCGACGTCGGCTCAGATGTCGGGAGCGATTGCCGCGCAGGTACAGTCATTTATCTTCTCCAGCACAGCCACTACTGAGAATATCCCCCGCGGCGGCAGCGTGCCTCTCACATACCGAAAAAAAAAAAAAAAAAAAAAAGCCCCACCCAGAAGGAACACAGTTGTACTAACCCTAAGAAAAAACAAAAACCAACAACAAAAACCAACAAACAAAAAACCCCCCCCAAACCTCACGGTGCTTTTATAATGTGAGCGAATCGCGGGAGCCGCTCACACGGCCGGGGAGCCCCGAGTGCCGGACACGGGGAGGAGGCTCCGCGCCCGCCTCCCCCCTTAAATTCGGGCAGGAGAAGGAGCAGGAGGCGGAGGAAAAGAAGAAGGCGACGGCATCGCCGCTCTCAGGTTGGAGCCCCTGACCTCCCTTTCGTGCGTGTGGGTTTGAGCATCCCAGCCCCTGGGGATCCTCGCTGCCGGGACAAGAGGCAGCGCTGTGCCCGTCCCGTCCCGGGGCGGAGGGCTCGCAGCCTGCGGTGAGCGGCGGGCGGGGGGCGCGTCCCGGGAGCTGCTGCAGCCCCGCAGCCGAGGGGACACCGCTGTCGCCAGGCATGAGCCACCAAAGCGTGCCCAAAGCGGGGCGAGCGGCGGGAGGGCGTGGGGAGAGGGCGGCTTCGGTGCCGGGGTGTTCCCAGCTCCCCGATCGGACGAGCATGAGGCACGGGATTTTTGGGGAAGGTTGGTTTTTTTTTTTTTTTTTGAAGGCTTGGTTTTCTCCTCTCGTTGAATTTCTTCAGTTTTGTTCCTGCTTGCTCCCGCCCGAGGGTTGTGAAGGTGCTCCTCAGCACTTCTGCCCGTCGGTTCCCCAGCCCTCCTGGTCCCTGGCCAATTTTTGGGCATTTTCTCAATGAAGTTCCCCATTCCCCTCGCAGTAATGAGTAAATGACATAATTGCCACCAGATGAGTTTGGGACCTTCCTTGTGTGACAGGCAATTCCCCCTCCCAGCAGCTCCAGTCATTTTTCATATTGATTGGACCTGCAAAAAAATAAAATTAAGAGTAGCTTGTGATAAGAAAAGGAGAATGAGTCACAGCCACTGTTGAGATCAAAAACACAAGAGAAGCATTTTTCCAAATGACTCGAGCTGTGTGCTGCTGTATGGCTGGAGCAGGGGATGGGGCTTTTGCTTTGTGATGAGGGCCAGCTCTAAGGGTTCCACTCCTGTTATCAATAAGCTGCAAGTTTCATGTCTGTTCTTATTCCAAGGGACAGAGAGCAAGAGCTTGTGGGGCACCGTGGAAATGGCTCTTGTAGAGGATGTGTTCCTGCACACCAACCTCACCTCCAGCAACCAGAGCAGCTGCAATGTGCACAACCACCACTTCTCAACCAAAGTCACCTTCTCCCTTTTCTATGTCATCCTGCTGGTGTTTGGTGCCTGTGGGAATGTCCTGGCCCTCTGTATCACCTTCCAGCGCAGGAAGAAGAAACTCAACTCCACCGACCTCTACCTGGTGAACCTGGCCCTCTCTGATGCCCTCTTCACCCTGGCACTGCCAGGCAGGATCGCCTACTACGTCCTGGAGTCTGACTGGCCCTTTGGGGACTGGTTCTGCCGGATCACAGCTTTCGTTTTCTACATGAACACCTATGTGAGCATCTACTTCATGACCTGTGTGAGCGTGGACCGCTACGTTGCTGTGGTGCGCACCAGGCACCCCGGCAGGATTCGGAAGATGAGCCGTGCCAGGGGCATCTGTGTCCTCATCTGGTCCTTGGTGTTCCTGCAGACGGCTCCGCTGCTCCTGCGGCCCATGACGCGAAGGATGGGAGACAAGCTGACGTGCATGGAGTACTTCAACTTCGAGGAGATTCCCAATCTGCCCTACCTGCTCCTGGTGGCCTGCACGATTGGTTTCTTCCTGCCTGTGGGCATCATCTTGGTGTGCTATGTGAGGATCAACCTCAAGCTCTGCCAGACGGCCAAGGAGAACCCGCTGACAGTGAAGAACGGGCACCACCACCGGGCCTTCACTGTCATCCTGGTGGTGCTACTGGCTGTCCTGCTCTGCTTCAGTCCCTACCACCTCAACATTGTCCAGTTCATGGTCAGGAAGATCCTCTACCAGCCATCCTGCCGGGAGCAGCAAGCCTTCAAGATGTCCCTGCAAGTCACTGTGGCATTCATGAACCTCAACTGCTGCATCGACCCCATCATCTACTTCTTTGCCTTCCGGGGCTACAAGCGGAGGCTGCTCCGCATCTTCAGGAACAGTGGCTCCCTGGCCACCTCCTCCACTGCCAAGACCCCCTCAGACAGCAACAGCAACAGCCAGCCACACGGCTCCAGCTCCGTCTAGCAGCACAAGCCCCTTCCCTTTTGCCCTGGCCTTGACTTGCGGACCATCCCTGATGGCAGAAGGTGAAGTCGAGCTGCAGGACCAGCACCTTCAACAGCTCCATCGCTCCCCTGCCTGGCGCCAGGGGCTCTTGCAAAGCCAACCTGGCAGGGAAAAAGCCCTGCCTGTCTCTGCCTGCCTGGCTCTGTGCTCAGCGCTGCTGCATCTGCCAGCCTGGAGCACAGAGAGGTACCCTTTCATCCCAGCCCCAGAGGAGGCAGCTCCTGCAGCTGCTCTGGCTGGCACTGGAGGTTTCCCAGCACTGTACTGCACTTCTCTTCCATGCCTGTCCCTTTCCCCTGTGGGGCCGGAGCGGGCTGGTAGTCACCATGGGTGTCCCTCTGCCCCATCCCCTGCACTGCCCCTGCAGCAGCACTATAGCAGCATGCCCGCAGGCCTCAGGGCAGACAGCAAGGAGAGATGGACTCAGGGCATTTCAGGGAAAGGCTGGCATGTTATTTGCATGCAGAACATGGTCTACAGCTCCTTCTCCACACTGACAAACAACAGCTCTGCTCTCTGCCAGCCCAGCATACCACTTCTGCACCTGGGCTCTGTGTGGGGCAAGCAGTAAGTGTTGGACATGTGGAAGATGCTGGAAAAGCCCTCTCCCAAGGAAGAGGTGTGAGGATGCGAATTTGTAGAGCTCCCGGATGTGCTGCTGCCTACATTCAGCATTCCTCACACCTGACAGCACTGCAGTCACCCTGGGACCCGCTGCTAGGAAGGAGATCGTGAGGATGGCTTGGATCCCAGCCCAGCTCTAAGGCTGCAGACCTGCCCTGGATGAACTCATGGGGCAAACCTTCCCATTAGTCCTTAATTTGAAGGGAGTAGAGAAAGAGGGACAAGAGGGTGGCCTTATGTGACCCTGACTGACCTTGAATCTGATGCCCTGAGGACTGTGAGAGCCTTGCTAAGGGAGGTTACTTGTGACTATTGCCAGAGCAAGAGGAGGAACCCTGGGAACATCAGGCTCCTGCTGAGGTTTGTGCCTCTCAGATGAGGAGAAAGTTGGCAGGAGCTTCCTCATCTCTTTGCTGAAATCACTAGACTATGATAAAAAACCCACACATAGGATTTCACAGTTCCTGGCATGTCTAGCCTTTTGTTTGAAGTTGGAAGGGACAGACACACACAGAGACATGAAAAGGAAAAAAGCGCTGCTTATTTTACTGAAAAGTAAACCTGAAAAGGTTTCATGAGCAGACACTTTTGATTAACACAAATCATTCTTTAAGGTAATAACCTTTTTTATGTCTAGAAAGTTAACAACAGTCACATGCAGCCCTTCATTGTTTTAAATGCACATGAATGAGCTTTTGGACGGTGATAGTTTTACTTATGGTATGGAGCTGAATGCTGCAGGCATGCTGAAGGCTGACTAAGAGTGATGCCTAAAATAACTCTGGTGGGACACAGACTCCAGTAGGTCCTTTCTGGAGGCTGAGCCCTCCTTAAAGCAGGTTTAACCTCAATTTTGACCTGCAGAGAGCCTTTGTCCTGAAAAGCATATTACAATGGACAAGAAAGAGCTGGGATGCAGTAATATGAGGGTATTAGTGGTCTGAACACCCTTGAAGGAGTCTGACTAGGCTGGTAGTTGCTGTACAGTTACATTGTCCTATTAACATGTGTGAGAAGTGATGGCTGGAAGGGAATTCTGTGTCACCTCATCCAACAGCCAAAGCAGGACTGTGGTTGGCACAATATCAGGCCTGACTTCATCCAGACAAGGCTTGGAAACTTCAGGCAAGGAGGGTCCCCTTACTGAGGTGACAGTTCCCGCTCTGCATTGTCCTCTGGATAAAAGCATTTTCCTCACCATCGTGTCTGAACCTCCCCATCCACAGCTGGTGGCTGTTGTCCCTAACATCACCCACTCGTGCTATGAAGAGCTCGGCTCTGCTATCATTGTAACTCAAATTCCACAGGGGGAATTTGTGTTGGGGGCTGACAGTGGTTCGTAGCTATTGGTTTTTATGTGAACACCAAAGCAGGGATCTGCAGCAGTGGCCAACCCTCCTACTCAAGATCAAGACATTGAGATGTTTTGCTAAGCTGCAGCCCACAGCTGCGAAAAAGCCAATCCATGACCAAGCATTCTTAGGAAGAGGTGGAGTATAAACATAACCTGGTTTGCTCCTTATTGGACTCTGTTTTTCTCAGAAGTACTTTATTAAGAAGGGTACCTCCACCTCTTGCCACCAGTAGGAGCCTTTGGAGTAGGAAATAGCTGAAAAGCTGGGTGTAGTGGTACAAAATGCAGGAGGTATCTGGCCTTCCTCCTCTGGATGGACACCAGCCTGGGCTACTTTGCTTTTGGAAGTACCAATACAGAGACAGCAGGCAATTAGCTGGAGCTGAGGAAATGAGATGGAGAAGGAAGGGACTTGGACAGAGTGGGTCAAGAGGAATCTGGGCAAATGAGAACTCCAAAGAACCCTTTATTGCCCAGACTATCTTGCTCACCAGTGGGTCCTCCCTGTCTGCTAGAAAAAGGAGCATTTCCCTAAAATTGAAGAGAAACCATACACAGCATTTTATCTAGAGGCACAGCAACATTTCCCTACACTTCACTGTTCACCTGTCAGGTCCAAGCTCCTCGTGTGATTCTTGCTGGCCCAGCAGCTACTGCCCACTGCCACGCTTCGAGCCACCAGCGGTCCCTTGGAATCACAGAAACACAGAACAGTTTAGGTTGAAAAAGACCTCGGAGATCCTTGAGACCAGCCACGAACCCAGCGCTGCCAAGGCCACCCCTAACCCATATCCCCCAGGTGCAGCAAAGACACCTGCATGTCTTTGGAGCAGCTCTGCACCGCTGGCCCCCGGCTCCCCCGGGGTGCAGCCCCGCAGTGCCCCGGCCGGGGGTACCCGTGGCCGGGCGAGAGGGATAGCGCCGGTTCCCGCCGAAAGGGGGAGTCGGAACCTTTGCTCGGTGCTGAAAAAACGCCCACGAATGTGAGGACGATGCCAGATGGGGCTGGTGCTTCCCCCACGCGTCTGCTGCCACGCCGGAATGTGCGCCTCTCGTAAGCCGGGGGGTTCTGGCGTGTGGGGGAAGCACACGACTGCGCACTGGGATCGACGGCGTGCAGAGAGCTGTCACTGCACCGTATGCAGGTAATTCTTGCTTTTCTGCAGCCTGTTGCTGCTGTGCTGTCTTCCAAGAGAACACTCTGCTTTTATCTGAGGGCAGAGAGTACACTTTGTGGACACACAACAATAGTTAATACATGCACAGATACAGGATATACTGTCTGCATCAGAAGAATATCCTGGGCTGCATCAAAAGCAGCATGACCAGCAGGTCAAGGGAGATGATTTTGTCCCTATATTCAGCTTTGATGAGATCCCACCTGGAATACTACAGCACGGGAACAACATGGATGTGTTGGAGCAAGATGTGGGCCACCAAGACAATCCAGGTTGTGGAGCACCTCTCCTTTGAAGACAGGATGAGGGACTTGGGGTTGTTCAGCCTGGAGAAGGACCCAGGGACACCTTAGATCACTTAAAAGCTAAGTACCTAAAGCCCCCAAGGCAGCTGGAGAGGGACTTTTGACAAGGGCCTGTTTTGACAAGAGCCTGTAGTGACAGGACAAAGGGGAATGTCTTCAAAGTGAAAGAGAGCAGGTTTAGATGAGATATTAGGACAAAGTTCTTTACATGGGGGTGGTGAGACACTGCAACAGGCTGCCAAGAGAAGCTGTGGATGACCCATCCCTGGAAGTGTTCAAGCACTGGGTTGGATGAAGCTTTGAGCAACCTGGTCTAGTGAAAGGTGTCCCTGCCCATGGCAGGGGGGCTGGGCAGAGCTCAAACAGAACAGCTTTTTTTCCCTCAGCAGTGGTTCCCAACTTCCACACCTCTTCAGTCTGTGCTCCAAATTGTCCTGAACTGAACATATTGCATGTCATACATAACATTTGTAAGCCAGTAAAATATTGTAATGTACTAACGCACATATCTTCTAGAAATAAAAGCTTCTCATGGCCAAGTAACAATGGCCTAGTGTGATTGATCAGGCCAGGAGATGTGGGCAACTGTTTCCTCCTCAGAGGTGCACCTGTGCCTCTGCCCCCTCCCAAGAAAATGACCAGAAGCAGTGAGGGGCAAGCACAAGCTCTCAATCCACTTCCCTTACACAGGTGGTGTACTCTCATGGAACAGGGAATTAGAAATGACCTTCCATGGGAAAAGCTGCAGGACCTGCGAGGAGCTGTGTCCTTTCTGGAGGAGGTCTCTCCACAGCTGGGACGGAGAGGTGCCAGGAGAAGTCAGGTTGACAGGACTAACTGCTTTGGAAGCCAGAAGCATCTGCATTCTCACATACAAGTGGCTCCAGGGTTTGCTGTACTGCCCAGCTGCTGGGATGGCGCTGCTCTCTCACTTGCCACATGTACCACCTCCTGTACCTGACCAAATAAAATGTGAGGATTGCCCTATCAGACACCGCTAAAAAAAACCTGAGTGGATTGTCAGTACAAGATTAACCATAACCTTGCATATTTTCATTTTCCACAGGAAATCCTGCAAATCCTTTTAAAATTTAACTTAGTGCAATGCAACACTGTCTCCCTCTCTCTCAGCAGACCTTCTCTTTCTGTCCTCAGTTCTACTTCGCTCCTCTTTCCTAAACTCTCTGTGTTTGCTCAGCTCCACTTGGCCATCTCTCTCAAGTCCTTTCCTTTGCTAATCTTACATGACACTTATGGTCCCTACCTATCCTAAGTCAATAGGTCAGATCCTGCTTTTAGTTTAGCCATGATTCTGGAAATTTTCACCCATTTTTAAAGTATGTATATTCCTGCTTTCTCCACTGCAACCATTCAGGTTTAGAAACAGCCCCCTACAAACAGGTATGAGCCAAACTAACTTCTCTTTCCTCTTAAAACTCTCCTTTGGAAAACAAATGATGACAGCTGCACTACCAATGTGTTCAGATTCTCAACAGTCACACCCATTTGTCTGGTTGTAACATTCCTTTGCTCCCACCACTGGTGTCTCACCTCATATTTGCACCAAACACTGTTGGAAGCACGCACCCTCTTCGAGTTTCAGAGTGGACTTTCTGTGGTGAAAGAATCCCTTTATATATGCAAACAGAAGGAATGTAGTCCTACTAAAAATTAAACTAGTATTTTTTAAGTAAATGCACACACATTTTAAATATATATATATATATAAATATAAATAAATATGCCTGCATGTGTGTATATATATATAAACACGTATAGTGTGTGTGCGTTCATGTGACTCTAGTCTCTAGTAAAACATTTGTTCAAAACATGCTCATTTATATAAAATACTGATTATTGTGGCCACACAGTAAAAGAAAGCTAATCTCATGTAGGTTTTTCTTGTGGAGGAATACACAGGAATTTAATTGCACTTTTGTATCAAATCCCTCTATTAGTTCAAATGAATGCTGTACATTTATTTATCCTCAAACAGATGTGGTTCCCTCATAGCATGGGAGTTGTAGTTCAGAGTGTTTCTAAAGCTTGGTGCCTTTGTAACTGCACAGATACTCCAAATACACACGTTTGACAGAGGGAGGAGGTCTTTCAATACAGATTTTTAATTTTTTTTTAGCAAACTCTTAGCTCCACTTAAATTCATTGAACTAATACATAAATATTCTCACTCACTCTCTGTATATATACACATGCATATACATATATATGCATATATATAATCATATATATATACATACAAA